AAATTTAAAAACCTTTTCGACGAGACCATGCGAGAAAACGATTATTCTAAAGCCGATATGTTTGCTGAAGTTGTAAGTGATCTTCGAAAGGAAAAAAAGATCAAGGTTATTTCAACCAAAGCGGTGGAAAATTATTATAATCAAACAACGAAACCCGACACCAGTTTAGTAATTCCTTAGCCCGTTCTTGGTTCTTCTCCATAGATCTAAATTTTCGAGGGATGTCAGGCTGGCCTCGATTCTTCGCATAACCTGTTACTCCAGAGTCTGTAATGCGTAAAGTTATAAGTTCAGCGGGTCGGATACAAAGCATTATCATAACATCAGCAAGGGCCAAATAATCGGGTGAAGTTTTTAAATCATACGCATCTAATCTCTCTTTGACCGATTCTAATGTAAATTCATCCGGATAGTCGATACGATTAGCTTCAGCCTTTTCCCGATTATCCCTCTGGATTTCGTTGGCTTTTTCCGTAATGTCAGGAAATTTTGTAGCATCGATTATTGTGGGTAAAGCACCAAGGCTTTTTAATTCTCTCCGGAGTCGGAAAAGACGTGACGAACCAGCATTGGCATTTTTTGCTGATAGGGCTAAGGCGTGGGCTTCAGCTCTTATATCCCGAATACTAAGCTTATCCCGTAAAAGCCGATGCGCCATCTCTCCAATTGTTTCTTGTGGGACCCGATCTTTCGAAGAAAGGAGATTTTGTCTCTTAGAAATAACAATGTTTACTGCGGAACAGGGTACTTTGTGCGTGGTTTTGCTTTTGGGTTGGACATTTTCCTGAATAGAGAGGTGACGTAAGTCGCTTTGCAAAGCAAATAAGTCATCCACTTGGCCTTCACTAAAACCATATCTATTCTGTAAGATTCGTTTAGTTATCTCTCTGATAATCTCTTCTTCCGAACTTTTTGGGATCTTAGCTACAGCTATTCTATAACTACCTTCAACTAAATTTATAGTTTTATTTTTCCCACCCCTCTGATTAGGTATTAATACACCTACCTGTTCACTGCTAAATTTGAATCCTTCCCGAAGGCGTCTGCGTGCCTGATTCCGCTTTCTATCATCAGTAAGATTCTCGAGAAACTCTGAAGTGTATTGACTGAGATCGGTCACACTCATCTTGGGGCTGAGATTGTGTTTTCCAACGATTTTTGTTGCGACGGCTGACATTGTATCAGTTATAGATTATACTCACTTTGCTAGGTTATATACTATGCAAAATATTCAATTCGAAATTAAATATTTTCGATTTAAGCATAATTGAAATTAAGAAAGAAAATATAAACATAAAATAATAATACATGGATCGCGTTACCTGTCCGCATATAAAGAGGGACGGTTCTATTTGTGGTAAAAGTTGCTGGCGAGTCACAGGGTGTTCGTTGCACTGGGCTTTACATGATAGGAATATAGCGAAATTTCCTTGCGGAATCTGTGGGAAACTAACAATATCTGGAACGGGGTATTGCCCTAGACATGCGAAGAGGGTTTATTTTCGAAATTGGTATGAGAGACAAAAGGCACAGAGAATAGAAGATGATACGTAATTATACTCACTTTTGCCGAACGTAGTCACCATATGACTATAGATATCAGTTTTAATCCTCACAAAAATGGTCTTCGTAATGGGATATTTTTTACAAATATCATTTTTAAGCGTCACAAAACCCCTTCTGTGATATAATATACTGTAACTCTGGGATCATTGTAGGGTTAAATTTTTTCAATCGCGTTTTTTTTAAGCATCACAAAAACCCCTTTGTAAGATATATCATGGACCCTAAATACTCGTTTTAAATGATATCAACCAATTCTTGACGCAACTGTATATCAGAACTGGGAGCGATCTCCAATTCGTCAGGTGAGAGTTTACTATACCCATAACGTATATCCTCGCCGTTTTCATAGAATTGTCCTTCACCCGTTTGGTATGGTGGCAACTTTGGGGCGCTTTCTTTATCGAATGGACCTACTAGATAATAATGGGTTCGTTTATTATTAGTAGCTTTAAACTTTATCCCATAAGTTGCGGAAAGTGCTGAATTTAATAAACCAAGTTTCGATTTATCCGATTTTAAACCAGATTTTTTAGTACTACGAGACGCGTCTGTATTATCAAAAACTCGGGTCATTTTTGGTACTAAATTTTGGAGGTATTGTATCGATTCTGGTGAGTTTAAGCACATTTTAACGTCATTAACTTTATATCTATTTCGATCGTCAATATCTTTAACCGGTGTACAAGTTTTTATTAATTCCAGACAGATTCGATGTTTTTCAGCTCTAGTAACGGTTGTGAGTCTATCATTTCTATAATCTTCACGGGTAATCGCCTCAACTGCAGTCTCATTATCAATACCTGCATCTCGTAATTTCCGAAGATTTCTAAACCACTTCATTTCATCATATTTACCATAATTCTTAATAAATTCTTCGGTCAGATATTCGGGAGGTATTCCATAACATTCTGCAATATGATACCGGGTTAAAGCATGTATTTCTTTTAAAGTCTTCTTTGGTTTGTTTTCTAGGTGCTCAGCCATCTCGTGATTGAGAATATTGGCGTTAGCGATATCTGAGATTTCCTCCGCTTTGATAACAGAAGAACATACTTTTACCGCTTCAGTTAATGATACAGAATCTTCTTCGGATTTAGGAGTAACTTCTATTATTGAAACAATCATACCTGCTTGTTTAAGAAAATCTACCATTCTCCATCCAAATAAGCGACGAGATCGGAATTTTTCCAACATATACGCCACCCATAATCGAATTGTTGGAATATCCTTATTTCGAATAATAAACTCTGCATCTGGAAATACCCCCCTATTCTGTAGTTCCTGAGGAAGACATTCTCGCTTCGCTTTTAATAACCAATTAAATAACCCCTCTTCTGTAATTGGAACATTCGATGATCTTTGCTCAATATAACTTATATAATCTTTAACGCTTCGCATACGGAATAACATCTGATTAGTCCCAGCATTTGTTTCTATATAACTATTAAAGAGACAGAATGCACGCTCGAACTTGGGGTTAGTACACGAAACTCCTATTTTTAATGTACTTGTATATGCAACAAGATCCACCTCTTTCCATGCTTCTTCTACATCACTAAAATCGCGAGCCTTTTCTACCGGATCAGATTTACCATGATAATTTTTAATACGTAACTCAGGAAAATCAGTCCTAAGAGCACGAACGATTCCTTGTACATCTTTTCTCAGATGGCAAATGAGCGATGCACTTTTTCGTTCATCAAAAAGTAATGAAGACATCTGCTTTGCCCAATCCCAAAGTTCAGTTAATATAGTTTCTTTATTAGATGCTAAGTGGAACGTTTTACCTTTCTGGGGTTGGTTTATAATTCTCACCTGACGCAGAAAGATTAATTAGTTGGAGGAGAAAAAGATTAGTTGGGCATTGATCATTTATTAAGATAATACTGGTTTTTAATCATTTCAGGGCAGGGCTGATAATAGATAATGTTGCTTACTTCATTGTATTTTCTGTATATTTTAGTCTAATACCAATATTTGTTCGTATTTAAAATTCAATCCGTATTGCACTACGCATCTGTCTCTTCAACCTGTATCCCGACAAGCATCGGGACATCGATTCGCCATTGTCGGGTAATTCGTTTTGGGATACCTAATACTACTTATGACATTCGGATTGTGCATAGTCTTGTGGGAATTCTATTTCTTGTGTATCTATTAGATGGTATTAATATGCAGCGGAATCGAACATGATCGATGATTTTATGCGCTTTGTTGCTAACAAGGTCTGTGACCGATACGTGGCATATATTGTAAAAGGGTTCCAAGGCAAATGCTTTGATAGAACAGTTTGACCGCATTTAGGTAATCTCCTATTTATAATTTTAACCCCACCTCGAATGATCGGCAAACCGTAACTAACGAAAACATAAACAGCCTAGAATATACAATGGTTCGTATAAATAACAATCAATTTTTGTTATGTAACTCCCGAGTCTGGAAAATGAGACATGGCGTGCATATAGAGGTCTGATTATAACTGCGTTTGCCTTTAAAGCCCAGTGTTAAAGATAAAAGTGTCGATTTTAGGATTTTATAAAATTGTTGTATCACTTTTAAAAAAAGTATGCATGCACGACCAACGACCGCCGCAATTACGTCATCACCCCAAAACCCCAAAATTGAACCTCTTAAAAAGTTTTTCCTGTCTCTCTGTCACCCGTTATTGCTTTGCAATAAGACACTCTACTGGCCGTAATAATCAGCTATTTATCGTAAACTACTTTTACTTGTCCATATCGAAACCAATGTCTCATAATAGAAGCAGCGTCTTGTCGTTCGTGCCCACGTCGCGGGCAAATAATTTCCTACACACCCATAAAACTAATTCCGCTCACTCGACAATACAAGTGGAGTTCAAGTGGTTTGAAACGAACATCTCATATAATGAGAATTTTCTTCCCCACAACCACAAATACCCACGCCACGGCGAAATTTTGTCACTGTCCTCGGACAGGACACTACTGTCTTCCAACTCGGACTCCACGAAACACGAAAACAGTGGTCCATGGATGGAGTTTATTCCCACGAAAAGGATAAACTTGTATAAGTTCGATTGTATGTATTGTAAGCTTTATTTCTAAAATATTCAATTACATGTCATAAACTTTATTCTATTATTTCGAACCTTGTAGTTGAATATTGAAATAAATGCCAAGGCCCGTATGATATCAACAGTGCTCGAGCAACATGACAATTTCGAAGACATTGTGATGTCAATTGACATCAACAGTGCTCGAGCACCATGAGGCCCGTATGATATCAACAGTGCTCGAGCAACATGACGATTTCGAAAACATTGTGATGTCGATTGACATCAGTGCTCGAGCACGCAACACAACGCAAAACGGGGCCGCGCTCGAACGTCGTGATGTTTCCCCTAGTTTATATTATCTATATAGAGATATTTCGTAAACAATCAGCAGAATTTCACACATTTGTTTTGACTTGCAATATCATATAATAAAAAAGTTACATTAAACTAATTATTTGTTTTTAATAATGACATGAATTTTCTCTTATGACAACAGTAATTGTGATGATAAATAAACTCGT